ATTGTGTGCCCTCACCCTGCTTTAGTACATCCTGGATCTACCCATGCCTGAAAACAGGCAAGACAGGGATCATCCCACCTTAGGTAGATAATTGTCTTTTCTTTCTTACCCCTTCTGAAATTCCTCTTCTTTGATTTACACCCCCTCCCCACAACTCAGAGGTTGACTAGCACTATGGGTTTGACTATATGGGACTTGTCCTTACTATTTTGTAGCCTTGGGACTCATTTCAGCCTTTAGATTATTAGCTCTTGGAGTAGCTCCATTTACTGAAGTTTGCCACTGACTTCATTTGGGACGGAATTTCACTTATATACTGAATTTACTCAGATCTAAGACAAAGTTCCCCCCCATTGAACACAGGAAAAAAAGCCCCTTGGATTTAAGCACAGGCAGCAGGGGCAGGTGGCTGCTGCAGCTCAGGCTCTGGATCCAGCTCTGGCTCTGGCCCTGACCCAGGATCAGAGCCACAATTGTTGCCTGCCTGCACCCCACTGCTTCTGCCCTCTTGCTTGTCTCTGCCTACCCCACTTGCTGTCCTGCCTCTCCCCCACCCTGTCGTTTTTGCTTGCTCCAGCTCTGGCAGGGCTCCAGCTCCGTTCCAACCTGGGACATGGAGCATGCATTTGCTCTGACCACAGCCCAGCTCAACAAGAGCTGTTGCTGTAATGGCACCTCTGGCTGAGGCCCAGAACTGGAACCCAGGCCAGATTTGCTGCCACCACTGCTGCTGCTATGGACCTCGGCTGGGGCCACAGCAAAACATGCACTCCAAGCCTCAGGCTGGAGCAGGGCTGGATTCTTCTCAGAGCCAGAGCAAGGATAAGTGGTGGGGCAGGCAGTAGTTGTGGCTCCAACTCTGAAACTGGGGTGAAGAGACTTTGGGGGGGGTGTGGGGAAGAGAGGCAGGAAGGCCCATGGGGGCAGCAGGGGGAAGACAGGTGCCAGGAGGTGCAGGCATAGGGGAGCAGGCAGCAGGAGGAGCAAGTGGTGAGGGGCCAGGCAGCACGGGTCAAGCTGCTTGACTCCATTACCTACCCCCTACTGCCTGTCCCCCTTAATGCCCCCCCCTACCACCTAACCCCCACTGCTTGCCCTCCTACCACTGCTTTCCCCACTACAGCAATGGGGGGAATTTAAGATGATCCTCCAGTTACTAGATTCTATTAATGGAAAATTAAAACAAATTTAATAAATTTCCTTGCATAGAATGTAATTACTGGGGCAAGTCATCTTAAATTCAGAGTTGTTTTAGATTTGGGTAAACATGATATTGATTTTCCATTAGCATAAACACATTTTATTGTGTATATCACAGAAAAAAGACAAGTTTCCCTTGTGGCTAAATCAAAGATTTCAATTCCATTTTTACCATTCCTACGTAAAGGGCATTATAATACAGTTTAGGCCTCTATGTCACGTAAAATGCCTTTCAATTATTCCAACAAGGTAGGAAATCTTTCCAAGTCTAAATATTTTTTTTAATTCTAAAGTTAACTGCTTTGGTCACTTGGAAAATAAAAAACAAAATAGTAGTGACAGTAGTACCATAGCAGTGATGCTCTACTGCCTTGTATAGTCATTTACACTTGTGCAAAGTGGTTAAACAGCCCTATCAAGTCTGAAATCTCTACCCACTGGTAGCATTTTACAATATCTTTATGCATAGATGTTAAAAAAACTACACAAATTGAAAGGCAGTGGAGAATAACACCCACTATCTTTGGCAGATCTAAGCAGAGAAACTCAAATTTTCTTGTTGGATGTGCTTCAGTAGCTAACAAAGTTTAATATCAGCAGGGTGTTGACAAATATACTGTACACAGCAGAATATAAACAAAAAACCATGTTAACTGCAGCTCCAGCAGAAATTAGCATTTGTAGAAAGCTTAATATTGGTGATATGGAAGATAAAATTGGTAGGTAGGTAAGTGGGCTTTGACGCTGTTTTCTCGTTAAACTGATGGGACAGCAGTGTAACATCATTGGCTTCTGCAGAGTTGCTCTTGATTTACTCCACTATAAATGACATTGTGGTTACAGTGAACTAGGTCCCCAGTAGGATCATAGGAAAGTAGGGCTGGAAGGGACCACATGAAGTCATCTAGTCCAATATTTTTCAGTGTTTTCCATTGCCAGTGTCTTTGAGGTATTACAAAGTAGAGCATAAAGGAAAACTGAAAAACTAGTATTCTTTTCACCTTGATTTGAAAGCTAATACTTCCACCAACCTTCTCCAGGAACTGAGATGTAGAGTGTGCTGATGCTCTGACTTGACATATTGCAAATATTACAAGGCCTCAGGTGCAATAACGTGCTCCACTTGAGTAGCAGAATAGCTACTTAATGAATGTTCCTGCACAGCCACACTTTTTGAGTCACCTAATATTATAATGTGGCCTCGAATAATAGTGTAAGTTAAACTGGATGTGAAAGCACTCAGATTTCTACATTCTGCAGAAATATAATTTAAAAGCCACGCTAAACCCTTTTGGCAGTGCTTTAAATGCTAAAGCACTATGGTCAAGGTGTTTTATTTGTAAAGAGGTATGCAAATAATGTTGTCATTGAGTTGACATTTGGTTATGTTTTAAACCAAAGTATTAAATACAATGCTGGAGCTGAGATAACTGGAAGCTAATTAAAAAAAAAAAAGAACAGACAGGGAAAGACACCAGACACAGCACTGCAGACACATTGTACAGAGGTAATGCATAGATGGCATGCACTTACAGAAATGTCTTCCTGTGTCAGCCACCCATTTATTAGAGATATTAAGACAAATTGAACAGAAAAACACCCTACAAATAGATGGAGCTCTGACACCACGCACACATCTTTTCCAAGCATGGGTACTTTAAAACCATGTAGTTTTTTTGTACATTTCTTCCATCTGCCTCTGTTTAGATACTGAAACCAATGGATTTGCAGATTAGTGACACCTTGGGGTTTACCTGTGCTGGAGTTGCCAGCTCATCTGACTACACATGTTTTACTACAAGCATTAAAATAAGCAACTCAGTAATACCACATTCTAAAAAATTTGAAAATATGTTAAAGTTAATTATCAAGTAATTATTGGAATGACTATTTTAACCATTCAGTAGTTAGCTCTGTAACATCACATAGCTGCAAACTATAAATTGCTAAATCCTTACTTCTTGAACACATGTATTATTATAAACTTCCTCGCTATCAAGAAAAGTGATACATTTTATTTGTCTCATTTTTTTCTGTGTCTTTAATAGGAATGGGGCAGTAAAAGGGACTTGGATCTTCTCAAAATGAATTGACTTAATTTCACATCACCTGGGCTAGCAACACATTCATGTGTGTTTTCCTTTTCTTATCCCAGCTTTGCATTATTTTATTGCATAGATTTGCAATAAGGCCTGTCAGGCAGTACATTTGGTCTTTGCACTGCTTCGTCCTTTCATCTGTATGTTACCTTAACTTTGCATGTAATCAAAAACTAGGCTTGGACTAAGATACTGCTCTTGTTAATTTTTGGCTCTGTTGTGCAAATAGGAAAACAGAGCCTTAGTTACTTAGGTATGCTCTTAACTAGTTATTCATATGCGTTGACATTACCCTTTCCTTTTTGAAATATATAAAACCATTCCTTTAAAAAATGATATATGTATATATAGCAATCTTCCATTACTTCCAAGTGTAAGCTGATAGAAAACAAACATACCTTATTGGGTCTGATTCTGCTTGCAGTTATGCTGGTAAATCACCTGTAACTCCTCTGAAGTCAGTGGAGTTACATCAGTGTAAATACTTGATTACAAAGCTCCATCAATTCCCACTGGAGTCAGAGGCAGCTGAGGGTGGTCAACATCTTGCAGGATTGTGTTCTAAATGAAATCCTGATCACAGTATGTCCTTACAGTATCCATTCTTTGAATTCGAGAAATAGACAGCAATTACCCATGTCAACTTACTTCATAAATTTGCATTACAGCATGATTCTGTTGGTGGGATGGAAAGAACTCTATCCTCCAGCTAAAGGAACTAAGGGAAACTCTCTAATTACTGGAGGATAATAGAGGGCATGGGACTGATCAGGTGTTTTGCTGAGGGAACTAATGGGCTGGGGATAGTGACTGCAGGGGGGAATACACAGCAAGTGGGATGGCTTAAATAGGAAGTGGTCAGAAAACCTATGACTGTGAAAGGGAGTCCAAGAGACTGGGGATCTTAATGAGTGCACATGGAATAACTTGTTTGCAAGAGACAGCCACACATGGTTACTCACTTAAATGTGCGCATAAGCCTAAGCAGCTGTCTCTTAAGGTGGGCTGCAACCACAGAGAGGAGTACATGGATGGTTGGAGAGGACACTCTGAGGTGGGGAGGGTACAGAGGCTATGTTTCTACCAGAGGAAAAAACATGTAGATTCTCTCTCCATTTCTCAATACCCTCCAGGATTATGCTATCTCTAAAGCAATGAAAAGGGAAATCAGTAACCAGTTACCTCCCACAAAGACTTATGCTACAGAAAAGGCTGGTGAGACCTGTGAACTTATCATGCTCTTCTTACAATATTAATTCACAAAGAGATTGAATTCACTTACTGGCATAACAGATATTACAAAACAGAACATAACATACACATTGTCTGGGATGTTGCCTTATATGCCAATGGCCTGCTGGGCCTCATCCTGCAGCCTTGACAGATATGACTAATCTAGCTGAAGACAAGTGACTATATAGATGAATAAGGACAGCAGTGTCAGCTGCTGATTTAGGCAATCTTGCTTTTTTCTGTTAGCCTAACCTTTAAAAAATTAACGTGTAAAATTTATTTCCATTGCTTAGTAGAATGAACAAGTGGAACAAATTAAAAAAACAAATATTGAAGCATTTTTTAAAAATGGACTATGGCCACTGCTTCCATTTAACATGATGGACTACAGTAATAAATAAGAATACAAAGAGAGCATGAATTAACTATGCTACCAACATGGCAATATGTCTTATTTCTTATTTGTTATTAAGATGACATGCAGTCCAAAAACTCATGGCATACACATTGGCAAAAACCATAAACCATGAGAATAACAAGGCTCGAAGGAACAAGGCTGACAAAAACGACTCCAAGGGTGACTTTCTTAGATACCAGTAAGTAGATCCCTAAAGGCAAGGAACTAAAGTACAACAAACCTAGCAACCAAACTAGCACTCGAATGGAGGTCTGGAAGAGCAAGGATGTACAGTTCCACACTGTCCAATCATGCGACACAGTTGCAACAGAGTCAAAGCTTGTGGGCCTGTAGAATTCCACCACAGGGGTCGAGTTCAGAGTCTGGGGGCTTTCTCTCTGCACTTCCATGATGGTTATAACCAGGCAATTGGAGGAAGTGTGAGAAGGGCTAACAAGAGATGCCAACCTTTTGGGAGTCAGCAACAGTTCTGTTGGATTGTCTGGGAGGCACTTCTTCCCCTTTCCCCCACAAGCCAAATTCACGAGGATGTTGTTGTCATCGGGAAGACTACTAACCTCATCATCTGGCAGACAAGTCTCAAACCTACAGAATGGGCACACGATGACTCCTTGAGGAGAGTCCCCAAAGTCTATGATCTTGCAAAGGCATTTGGCACATACCCTGTGACAACATTCTAGCACTTTCGGTTTTCTCTGTTTCACGTTATAGCGGTTGTAACAGATCTTGCACTCAAGCTCATCTGAGCTCTGGGACTCCACAGTATCTTCGGGTGGTTGACTGGTCATTTCTTTTAGTGGTTTGTAGAGTTGAGATGATGGGAGTCGAGAGGAAGTATTTTACTCAAGATAATTTTAGGGCTTCTTTCTGGTTATCACATCACCCATATCAGTCAGAAAAACAAGGGAGGACAGTATCAAAAGTACCAGTGATCTTCATTCATTTTTGGCTTCTGTTAATGATTTTGTACTGTTCTTTCATTGTGTGCCATATAAAAAAGACAGCATGGAGTTTCTGTAGAGGAAAAAGAGAGTCTAGAATTGTTAGCATGGCACTGAAGACAAATCTTTCATGGCTTTATCTTTCCAATAACATTTCTTAAAACTCTCTAAAGCCATTACTAAAATAGTTTTTTCTCTGTCACCTGAAATATACACAGCAGTCAGATTGAAAAAAACCTGACACCACATTTCACATGTAGGTATGTTTAGTCTCCTGCAAAACACATTGGTTCTTGAAGTCTTCACTGCATCTTGGTTCTGATAGATTTGTTTTCTGATTGGAACCCATTTTATCTCTCGCTTTGTATGTACTAATTAGGAGCACCTGTTTCCATCATACCTCCCAGCCAAGCACAGAAGGAAAAGAGACTGTGTGTTTATCTAGCAGTCACCAGGGCCCCAGAAAAATGTACTGACATTATGGTAGAACCCAACCAGTGAATATCCACATTGTTCTGTCCCCTGTAATTGGTCCTTGTGACTTTCTTTGCTGTGATGACTAAGAGGGAGCCACTGGAAGGGATCCAGAGAATGGGTCATGGAGGATTTTGCATTGCTGTGCTGTTGTTTTGCATGATGCTTTTACCACCAGACCCTGCACCCTAGGTTGTGCTGGCAAGAGTAAATGTGTTCTAGGCACTACATACACTATATTTAAAACCAAAACATAGTAATCTGCCAGATGGAATAAATTTACCCCCAATATAGGCACTTGGCTGGTCAAAAATGTGAATTTGGCAATATGCCTTAAAGGCCATCAAATCCATGCTCTTACAAAAAGAGTGAGCTTCAGAACTAGGAACCCACTCTGGTGCCAGGACTATTGTGTAGTTAGACTATCCTTAGCATGTAACAGGGGGACAGTAGGGAGTAAGAAAAAGGTGGTCTTATATTCCTATTGCGGCTCCCCAATTTGGGGCTGGACAGAGACCACTTTGTCCTCTTAGTGTAATTTAGAGTATTTTAGAGTTTTGCTCAAAATTGGGTCTAGCCACTTACGATTCCAAAGGGTGATTCAAACAGCTGGACATTGCCAGGGTGCGATGCAACCTAGTCATATTCTCTTTACTCCCATTTTCTTCATTTCTCCTTAAAATCCGTTTCACTTTTCTTGCATGTGAACTAATGCTGACTACTCTTCACAAAACCATAACTACTGGCTGTTCCTGGTAAGTGTATGTGCATCTCCAACACAGGCTAAGTTCATTTATTTATCTTTAAACTTTCTCTTTCTTGATCATTAGTTTTGCCAAGTTCCTCATTTCCTTCATTGCTCATTTTGCTTCCCTTGGGAAATTTACATTCACTATGTTTGCATTGTTGTCCTCAGAGAACAATGAGGCAGCAAATTTTCTCCTTTTAGCAATCTACCTCTTCTGTCAATAAATGATGCCTGCTATCTCTTAGTGCCCTAATGTCACTTTCTTGGGCCTCTTGTCTCTAATGTACTTGAAATACTGTATTTTCTTGCATATAACATGATCCTGAATAAAATATGCACCTTGTTTTTAAAAGTCATGATGAAGGTAAAAAAAGAAAAAAACCCCACATCTTTTTTTGGGAACCTGTACCAGGGAGGAAACAAAATCCACAGCTAGCAACACACCAGATTTCCAGCAGCTGAATTTTGGGAAAAGGGACATGTTGTATCAGAGAAAATACAGTATTCTGTACTATTTATCTACACTTAACCCTAACATGCAATGTGCATTCTAGTCATCACTTCTAGCTTTTTAAAATATACTTTAAACATATTAAAAACCTGATGGAATACTTCAAACAATGCAGCAAAGAAATACAGTGACTATAAACAAGAAACATATAAGGTAATATAACAACATAGATATCTTGGAGCCCACAGAAACAGTTCTTTAGCCTCTGTTACTTTTTGTATTTTCTTATTCATGCACTGTAGCCTTTCCCTTTTACTCTTTGTATCATCTCTGGTGACCTTTAATTAAATATAAAGTTGTAAGACACCAAGGGAATAAACGTGCTCCAGGGTGGAGGTGGGGGGGCACTTTAATTAGAGTGGCTCTCAGAGTCGCTCTAATTAAAGTACCCACAATGTCATGTGTATTCAGTGTCCCAGTCTTCAAAATGGTGGTGGGGGTGCTTTAACTAAAGCTCATTTGACGACCTTTAGCTAAAGCACCCTTGCCACCATTTTGAAATGTGGGGACACCAAATACACACAATGCAGAGGTTGCTGGAGTACATAGTTAGCACATTCCAGCAGACTCGCAGCAGACTCAATTAATATAGTCTGCTCCAATGCAAGCTAATTACCATGCATTGGAGCAGAGTTCCATCATGTGTAGAGATGCCCCAACCTACCCAAACACTGCGAACCAAAAAAATGGGCACACTAATATGATGGGCCAACCTGCAGGGATGTGAAGTTCAACTGAAAAATTTAAAAGAAACAACACAACACTAGGCTGTGGCCTCAATCTCATATAGATTTTTTGGACTGGGGGTGAGTTAGGGTAGTCAGCTTCTAAATCATTGAGAAGTAGGGCTGGAAGGGACCTCTAGAGGTCATCTAGTCCAACCCCCATTTACAAATCATAGAATCATAGACAGTTAGGGTTAGAAGGGACCTCAGGAAGTCATCTAATCCAACCCCCTGCTTAAAGCCAACTAGATCATTCCAGCCAGGACTCTGTCAGTCTGGGTCTTAAAAACCTCAAAGGATGGAGATTCCAGCACCTCCCTAGCTAACCCATTCCAGCGCTTCACCACCCTCCTAATAAGAAAGTTTTTTTCCTATTACCCCACCTAAACTTTCCTTACTGCAACTTCAGACCATTGGTCCTTTTTCTGTCATATGCCACCACTGAAAACAGCCTAGCTCCATCCTCTTTGTAACCACCCTTCAGGTAGTTAAAGGCTATTTCAAATCCCCCCTCAGTCTTCTCTTCTGCAGACTAAATAAGCCCAGTTCTCTTAGCCTCTCCTCAGAAGTCATGTGGCCCAGCCCCCTCACCATTTTTGTTGCCCTCTGCTAGACTCTCTCCAACTTGTCCACATCCTTTCTGTAGTGGGGGCCCCAAAACTGGACATGGTACCCCAGGTTTGGCTTTGCCAGTGCAGAATAGAGAGGAATAATTACTTCCTTTGATCTGCTGGCAGTGCTCCCACAAATGCAGTCCAGTATGCCATTATCCTTCCTGGCAACAAGGACACACTGTTGATTCATATTCAGCTTATTGTTCACTGTACCCCCCAGGTCCTTTACCGCAGAGCCGCTGCTGGTCCCAAGCCTACAACGGCATATGGGATTGTTTTGTCCTTAGGGCAGGACTCTGCACTTCTCCTTGTTGAGCCTCATGAGATTTCTTTTGGCCCAATCCTCCAATTTGTCTAGGTCACTCTGAATCCTAGTCCTACCCTCCTGCATATCCCCAGCTTGGTGTCATCCAAAAACTTGCTGAGGGTGCAATCCATCCCATTTTCCAGATCATTAATGAAAATATTGAACAAAACTGGCTCCCAGATCAACCCCTGGGCACTCCACGTGATACTGGTTGCCAACTAGACATCGAGCCATTGGTCACTACCTGCTGAGCCTGACGATCCAGGCAGGTTTCTATCCACTTTACAGCCCATTCATCCAACCTATACTTCCTTAGCTTGCTTGCAAGAATGCTGTGGGAGACTGTATCAAAAGGCTTGCTAGAGTCAAGGTATATCATGTCCACTGCTTTCCCCACATCCACAGGGCCAGTCATCTCATCATAGAAGGCAATCAGGTTGGTCAGGTATTACTTGCCTTTGGTGAATCCATGCTGAACATTCTTCTCCTCCAAGTGCTTAGAAATGGATTCCTTGAGGATTTGCTCCAAGATTTATCCAGGGAGTGCAGTGAGGCTGACTGGTCTGTAGTTCCCCAGATCCTCCTTCTCTTTCTTAAAGGTGGTCACTATATTTGCCCTTTTCCAATCATCTGGGGCCTCTCCCATTTGCCACAAGTTTTCAAAGATAATGGCTAGCAGCTCTCTAATCATATTGGCCAATTCCCTTAGCACCCTCAGGTGCATTGTATCCAGACCATGGACTTGTACATGTCCAGCTTTTCTAAATAGTCCTCAGTTCTTTCGCCACTATCGGCAGCTCACCTCCTCCCCAAACTGTGCTGCCAGGTGCAGTAGCCTGGTAGCTGAAGGCTGTGGTAAAAAAGGCATTGAGTACTTCAGCCTTTTCCACAAAATCTGTTACTAGATTGCCTCGCCCATTCAGTAAGTGAAGGACCCACACTTTCCTTGACCTTCCTATTGTTGCTGACTTACCCTTCATGTCCCTTGCTAGCTGCAACTCCAATTGTGCTTTGGCCTTCCTGATTTCATCCCCATATGCCTGAGCAATACTCTTATGCCCCTTCTTAGTTGTTTGCCCAAGTTTACACTTTTTATAAGCTTCCCTTTTGTGTTTTAGCTCACTGAAGAGTTCCCTGCTAAGCCAAGCTGATCTTGTGCCATACTTGCTAGTCTTCCTGTGCATTGGGATGGTTCACTCCTGTGCCCTCAGCAAGGTTTCTTTAAAGTACAACCACCACTCCTGGGCAACTTTCCACCTCAGACTCGCCTCCCAGGGAATCCTGCCCATCAGTTCTCTGAGGGAATCAAAGTCTACTTTTCTGAAATCCTGGGTCCATACTCTTCTGTTCTCCTTTCTTCCTTTTGTCAGGATCCTGAACTCGATCATCTTGTGGTCACTCCTGCCCAAATTGCCATCCACTTCTACATTTCCCACTAATTCTTCCCTATTTGTGAGCAGCAGATCAAAAAGAGCATGGCCCTAGTTGGTCTCTCCAACACTTGCAACAGGAAGTTGTTCCCAATTCTCTCCAAAAACTTCCTAGATTTCCTGTGTACTGCAGTTTTGCCCTCCCAGCGGATGTCAGGATGATTGAAGCTCTCCATGAGAACCAGGGCTTGTGATCTGGAAACTTCTGCTAGGTGCCTGAAGAAAGC